GTATGCTACATCCTAGATCCCACTCAGAACATCACTGTAGACAGTATACTGTAGAGAAATATGAAACCTGTGAATGTATTAGAAAAATTAGTAGCAGAAAAAAAAACAGAAATAAACCCCTTTAATTTCAATAAAAAACTAAAGGTACACTTTAAAAAGGTAATGTGACCCCAATGTATAGTGCAAAGCAAACTGGTATTATATAAATATTGTTTCATCAAGTTAGAGTAGTTACAAACCTATGCTAGACCTCCTATGCCCTAAATGGATGAATCAGTGATGAACGAATATGTAGTGATTTGTGGTATGGTAAGACATTACTGTATTATAATGCATGGTCCAGCTTGTGCTGACAGTTCACTTCCTCTTGCATCCATTGCATTTGTTTCTGCAGTTGTCACCAGCACGGTAAGTGAGTTAATTCTCTTAACAGGGATACCTACAGAAATGGTAAGTTATTTTTGGGCTCTAAGCCTAAGAACTGAGCAACCACATTAGCAGTGATAACTCAGTTCTTTGTCAGTCGGTGCTCTTCTCTCTGCAACTCTAGCACTCAATGGAGTGCCAGGTAGGGGAGGGAGTGGGGGCAACCTGGCTCAGGCTGTCTGACACACACTGAGAGTCAGAGCCAGATAAGAAGGCACATCCATCCACCAATGTTTTGGAGCCACAAGAGACCCGTTTCTCAAGGTGACAGCAAGGTAACAGACTAGCGATCACTTTGAGAAAGGGATCCCTTGGACTGAAACATTGTTGGATGATATGAGCCTTCTTATCTTTTTATGTGAGCCCTTTTTCATTTGGAAATCAATACATGGTTGTTGGTACATGGCTGTTGTTCTGGCTATTTCTTGAAATCCAGCTTTAACACGGCATCACCGAAAGCTAAGAATCCCAACACTGGACATATGGGTGTGGTGTTGGATGAATTGGATGGTTTTCTAGCAGAAAAAGCCTGACAATCTTTTGGCTAGGCTACAATCTTATCTCTTGAATTCCGCAGAGTAGGGCTTTTCAAACTGTACATGTGCACTTTGAGACGTATCTTTTCATAATGTCTTGATTTTGGAAATATTGTTGGCTCAGAATTTTTGGCTGTTAACTAAGAATATGTTTACAGCTGGGAAAAAGCAACACATAGTTTGTGTTTAAATAACATTGGATACATTAAAGAGAAGACTCTAATATGGTGCCCTGGCAAGGAGTTCATTGAGTACCTGTGACTTAAAGTCAGCCATTCTTTATAACAAAGTACCAGATGTATCAATCACTGAGAAACTGCAAGAAATTACTTTGCGATTGGTAACTCTGTACATACTCTCCAAGCTTTTTCCCAGAACAATCCTCCCTCTCTTGGAGAATGTGTGCACAAGTGTGCTCGATCATTCATAAACTTTGGTAACATCAGCGGTATGTGAACAAAGACCTTTGGCCTCATCTCAAGTCGTTATAAAACTGTAGGAACTGTCTGAATAAATTTAGGTATTAAACATTATTATTATGGAAGATACCTAGGAATGTATAGAACACTCATTATACAAATGTGTGTTGCTACCAGAGACACAATTCTGAGATATAGGAAGAAACAAGAGGTTCCCAACTTCTCTTAGGTTGTGGTGCAAATAATCAATGTGAGTATGAAAAAATGTCTGCTAGAAGAAAGATTAGATCTGCCTTTCTCAACCTTTTTTAACACAGAAGGACCCTTGAAATAATTTTCCAGCCTCAAGGAACCCCTGCTAAAAATCTACAGCTCATGATACATTAGTGTGATGGACAGTAGGAAGACTGCTCCTTACACTTGTGGTTATTGAGGAGAATTACTTCCATACAGATAGCTACAAAAGATCAATGGTGTCAGTGGGAACTCATCTGAGAGGCAGAAATTGCTCATTGTTCAAGGAACCCCTGGCAACCTTTGGAGGAACCCTGGTTGAGAAACCCTGCATTAGATGCTTCAACATCCAAACTTCAACATATATTAGACAACCCTTTTGATGTCTGAAAATTAATCTATCTGTAATGTGCAAAAAAATTTACCCAATGGCCTCCTCAATGGTCCTCAGTACCTGGTACAATCAATCAATCAATCAATCAATCAATAAATCTAAAAAAAAGGAAAACTTTATTTAATGGACTGATATAAACCAATAACAGTGTATATATTAATGTCTTTAAAGTGGTTTTACACTCTATGCATGAAGGTAAAGCTATTGGCTCCCTCTGCTGTCAATTACAGCCAGTGAGCCAATGAGGGGGTGGGGCCAAGCCACAGCTCTGTTTATGAATGAACACACAGAGCAGGGAACCGGGAACAAGCCTGCCCAGATGCCCCCATAGCAAGCTGCTTGCTGTGAGGGCACTTGGCAGGAGGGAGGAGCACCAGTGGGGGACACAAAAAGAAAAGGATCAGGGCTGCTCTGTGCAAAACCATTAAACAGAGCAGGTACATATAACATGTTTGTTATATTTTTTTTTATATTGCCTTTAATATCACTTTAATAACTAAAAATAGAAACATCAACTGGAGCCATGAATGTCTAGTCCAAAACATTTTTAACTATTAATATGGTGTCGATTTTTTCACGTTTTATTTAATATTTACACTGATAACTTATATTACTTCAAAATTTGTCCCACTTTTCACCAATAATGTAGAAAGTTGTGATGCAGAAAAATAAAAACTATACCTCTTTGGTGATACTCCTTCCCCAGGTCTTCTACATTGACAAAACAAAATTATATGAGTTTAAAGTGGCAAAATGTGAGAAGGAAACTGGCAACATTACTTACAATATAGTCTGCTAGATTATTTGTATCAAAATATGATGAAAATTACATGGGACATTGCCTTCAGCAGTTTATTCAATGGCAACAAGTGTCTAAGTGAACACATTTTAAATTAAGATGTTTTCTTGTAGCTCTCTGTGACTCATTGATTATCTGTGCTTTGAGCTCCTGGATCTGCACATCTCATGTGGACATTATAAGGAGTTTCCACAAATTTAGTTGGTTTTAATTTATTTTATATTACAAGCAACAGGAACATACAAATGTAGGAGGGAATACCCCAAACTTCCAGAAAATGAGAAATCTGGCAGATAGAGCGTGCTGTTAGATTATTTAAAACATAGAACGCCAAGAGCTGACTGTGTCCACCAGGCTCTATTTTGGATAGATTAGCCCCTAATCAGATTTAAATCACAGGGCTTCAGATTGCATAAACCTTACACTTCAAATTACTGCGTCACTGTTGCAGAAAGAAGCAATATTATTTTCAGAGACTGTGTCTGTGCAATTCATTGACATTTTACAGTGCTAGGATGATATACAATTATGAACAGAATATGTAGTTATGGACTTTGTGTGGACATATAGAAAAGAAACTGAATTCTGTAAAAACAACTTTATTATGTATCATTAAAAATATGTTCCACAACATTAAAAAGTTCTCACCGCATAGGGGTTCACAACATGCAAAGATTCTGATTACAATTCATATGTGAATGGTGGATGCGTTTCGGGGATCCTTCTTATTATTTATTTCAGGTACTTATATAGCGCCGTCAATTTACGCAGTGCTTTACATATATATTGTACATTCACATCAGTCCCTAACCCTCAAGGGGTGTACAATCTAAGGTTCCTAACTCACATTCATACATACACTTACTAGGGCCAATTTAGACAGGAGCCAATTCACCTACCAGCATGTCTTTGGGGTGTGGGAAGGAAACTGGAGTACCTGGAGAAAACCCACGGAGACACAGGGAGAACATGCAAACTCTAGGCAGGTGGTGCCGTGGTTGGGATTCGAACCAATGACCCTAGTACTGCCAGGCGGAAGTGCTAATCATTTAGCCACTGTGCTGCCCATTCAAGAGCACATGTGACAGAATCAGCCAGGCTGGTTTGATGTGAACAGAGTTTGTTTCTAAGATACTTATCAAGAGCCCCTCTTTGGAATATACAGAATTTGCCTTTACTACTTTGACTGCCATGCTGTCTTCATGGTGATTTACTTACATTGGGTCTAGATGGTTCCCCATTGGGAATTTGTGTACAAGACCACTGGCTGTTTACTGAATGTACGTGCTTTTTCCCACCCAAGAGGCAGTGGCTTCACCTTGGCTTACTCACTTTCACCTTTATGGTCAACATGTACATGATATGAATTCCAGTCTACCCTACCAACTGATATTACTCTATTAAATAGAGATCACAGGAGTGCAGTTCATTCTACACTCCTGTGACCCATTTTTCAGCTGACAGTGGGCTGAAGCCTGCTGTCAGCTGGCGTCACTCAGGTGGTCCAGGCTGTGCAAAGACCCAGAATTTAAAGTGAGGATCCACACCAGAGTCTGGAGCGGCACCTGGCTCAGAGAGCCTCAGCTAGCCACTCCCTCCCCCTCGACAGCCAAGCGCTCCAGTGAGCAGGGGAAGGGGGGGTCGGAGCACTGACAAACATTGCTTTCAGCTCACAGTGTCTATGAGAACTTTGAGGTTAGGAGTGGGTACAAGGTTACTGGTTCTGTCACATGTTCTCCTGAAGAAGGATTCCCGAAACACATTGAGTCCACATGTGAAATGTAATTGGAGACTTTGTATGTTGTGAACCCTTATGTGGAGAGTAATTCTTAATGTTGTGTAATAGATTTTTGATGATACATAACAAAGTTGATCTTACGTACTCAGTTTCTCTTCTATATGTCCACACAAAGTCTGTGACTACATGTTCTGGTCATAGTTGTACATGGATTGTTGGGATGTGGACATATAACACACACAGTCTGGGTTTCTTTCCCACTACAGATAAGTGCTAAGGCAAACCCTTCAACTAGGAGACAGCTTGAAATAATGAATTATTTTGAATATAAAGGGTTGTATGTGTGCATTTTGACGTGTAAGCTGTCTCAAGACACAAATAAAAAATATACATGTGTTTGAATACAATAGATTCAATAGATTATATTACAAATATGTCATTTTTTTTGTTATAGCCTGTTCCATTCAACACTCATTTTCACTGTGGCCTGAATGATGGGACTTTAGTGATAATCAGTGGCTCGGTCCTTCCGTCTGGTGACAGGTATGTATGCAAGGCTGGCTGGTGATAAACATTATATAAATGCTTAGTTTACTGCAAGGAATGAATAGATGGCTACTCGGATGATTGCAGAAAAAAAACAAGAACTTACAGACTGTGAATAAAGGCCTTTAAAAATAAAGTCAGGTCCATAAATATTGGGACATCGACACAATTCTAACATTTGTGGCTCTATACACCACCACAATGGATTTGAAATGAAACGAACAAGATTTGCTTTAACTGTAGACTGTCAGCTTTAATTTGAGGGTATTTATATCCAAATCAGGTGAACGGTGTAGGAATTACAACAGTTTGCATATGTGCCTCCCACTTGTTAAGGGACCAAAAGTAAGGGACAGAATAATAATCATAAATCAAACTTTCACTTTTTAATACTTGGTTGCAAATCCTTTGCAGTCAATTACAGCCTGAAGTCTGGAACGCATAGACATCACCAGACGCTGGGTTTCATCCCTGGTGATGCTCTGCCAGGCCTCTACTGCAACTGTCTTCAGTTCCTGCTTGTTCTTGGGGCATTTTCCCTTCAGTTTTGTCTTCAGCAAGTGAAATGCATGCTCAATCGGATTCAGGTCAGGTGATTGACTTGGCCATTGCATAACATTCCACTTCTTTCCCTTAAAAAACTCTTTGGTTGCTTTTGCAGTATGCTTTGGATCATTGTCCATCTGCACTGTGAAGCGGCGTCCAATGAGTTCTGAAGCATTTGGCTGAATATGAGCAGATAATATTCCCGAAACACTTCAGAATTCATCCTGCTGCTTTTGTCAGCAGTCGCTTCATCAATAAATACAAGAGATCCAGTTCCATTGGCAGCCATACATGCCCACGCCCATGACACTACCACCACCATGCTTCACTGATGAGGTGGTATGCTTAGGATCATGAGCAGTTCCTTTCCTTCTCCATACTCTTCTCTTCCCATCACTCTGGTACAAGTTGATCTTGGTCTCATCTGTCCATAGGATGTTGTTCCAGAACTGTGAAGGCATTTTTAGATGTCGTTTGGCAAACTCTAATCTGGCCTTCCTGTTTTTGAGGCTCACCAATGGTTTACATCTTGTGGTGAACCCTCTGTATTCACTCTGGTGAAGTCTTCTCTTGATTGTTGACTTTGACACACATACACTTACCTCCTGGAGAGTGTTCTTGATCTGGCCAACTGTTGTGAAGGGTGTTTTCTTCAGCAGGGAAAGAATTCTTCGGTCATCCACCACAGTTGTTTTCCGTGGTCTTCCGGGTCTTTTGGTGTTGCTGAGCTCACTGGTGCGTTCCTTCTTTTTAAGAATGTTCCAAACAGTTGTTTTGGCCACGCCTAATGTTTTTGCTATCTCTCTGATGGGTTTGTTTTGTTTTTTCAGCCTAATGATGGCTTGCTTCACTGATAGTGACAGCTCTTTGGATCTCATCTTGAGAGTTGACAGCAACAGATTCCAAATGCAAATAGCACACTTGAAATGAACTCTGGACCTTTTATCTGCTCATTGTAATTGGGATAATGAGGGAATAACACATACCTGGCCATGGAACAGCTGAGAAGCCAATTGTCCCATTACTTTTGGTCCCTTAACAAGTGGGAGGCACATATGCAAACTGTTGTAATTCCTACACCGTTCACCTGATTTGGGTGCATATACCCTCAAATTAAAGCTGACAGTCTGCAGTTAAAGCACATCTTGTTCGTTTAATTTCAAATCCATTGTGGTGGTGTATAGAGCCAAAAATGTTAGAATTGTGTCCATGTCCCAATATTTATGGACCTGACTGTAAATCATTAATTACATTTTTTAGGGGAATACATAAGGTCAAGGCTACATTAGTCTAGCATTGAAGTTCATATATTTTTTTTTTTACAATACATACAATGTAAGACATTCCATGAAAAAAATTTACTATTTGATTTTTGTAAAAGTGCATGGAATGTTGCGAGTCATCAGAAAACTTGTACCATTGTGTGGCTAGCATAAACATTCTTTCAGATTAGCCACATTGTGATAAACATAATAAAAAATCACCAATGGTAACCAATCCATTGGTAAGGCATACTTCATTTACACTGGCATTTATTAAGCAGTCAATTTCATCAAAGTCTGCTAGGGTCAGACTATGTTATTAAATAGCTGTAAAAAGAGAACTAACTAAAGCTGACATGTTTTTCTGTGCATGGTATTATTCAAAATGTAAATGTAATGTATTCTAAGCAACAATTTGTAGTGTTAATCCTGGGGACATAAAATTGCAAATAAAATACAATTGCCATTAAGACATAATGGGAGGGATTTGCTAAAGCTGTTGCACACAGAAACTGGTGCAGCTGTGCATAGCAACCAATCAGCTTTTAGTTTTTATTATCAAAGCTTAATTGAACAAGCTGAAGTTAGAAGCTGATTGGTTATTATGCACAGCTGCACAAAATTCTGTATGCACCGGTTTTAGGCGAAAAAAATGCTGTATCACACCATCATGCTTGTTATGTTTGCAGAGCCTTTGGCATGCAATCTAGTCCAAAGATCACACATCTGTCAACATTTAAGCTTTCTCTGTTTTTAGTTTCTTTTGAAGGTTAATGGGCAGATTATCTAAAAGAGTAACATTTTAGTTACATTCTGTCTTCACTTGACTAGTTAATCTGAATCTAAACTATATTTGACATGAACACAGGCTATAAAAAATTACTGCTTCAGGTAATCATCCTAACCCATTCTCCAGTGTAAAACTTTCATTGAATTTATAGCTCTACCAATTACCCTTGCATTGCCTGATGACACTACTAGTAGTGACAGTACAGATGGCTATACTATAGTAGAATTTTATTTATTTTTTTAATTTTAAGAACATTTGTTTGATTTTCTAATGCTTGGGTCAAATCGCCATTCCTTTTTTGCAATGACAAGAAAGTTCGAAGGAGCAAGATGGAAACTTTTCACTGAACAAATTTCTAACAGTGAATGTGGTTTTCTTTTAGGAAATTACATTTATTCAAAAAGGGAGAAAAGAACATGAAGTAGTTTTGAATGAAATTCATCCATTCTTTGAATGTGCAAAGAGCTTTCCTTCCAGTACCACCTCCTTTAGAAAATACAGAACCAAGTATCATTTTGTTGGGCTAAGTCATTTGTATAATTTGTTACTGATAACAAGAAGGGCAAAAAATTAGATTCACTGCAGCCAGGAACAATAGATCCCCCAGCAACAATAGACACTCATAACAACAAAATACTCTTTATAACAAAATACCCCCGCTCCCCCTAGCAACATCATACCCCTGCTAGCAATAACAGATCTCTCTCAGCCGCCATCATCAATAGACCCCCTTCCTCAACAGTAGATCTCTCCCAGCAGCAAATTACCCCCCAGCAACAACAGATCTCCCATCAGCAACAATAGACCCCCAAGCAAACAGTAGATCCCATCAATAATAGATCCCAGCAGCCAGCCTCAATAGACCCTGCATCACATCCTAGCACCCCCTGTCATTACATACATTCAGTGCTGGAGGTGCTGGAACCATGTTCCCCCAGAAAAAAAAGATATATATATATATATATATATACACACACATACACACTATATTGCCAAAAGTATTGGGGGACGCCTGCCTTTACACACACATGAACTTTAATGGCATCCCAGTCTTAGTCCGGTGAGTTGGCCCACACTTTGTAGCTATAACAGCTTCAACTCTTCTGGGAAGGCTGTCCACAAGGTTTAGGAGTGTGTCTATGGGAATGTTTGACCATTCCTCCAGAAGCCCATTTGTGAGGTCAGGCACTGATGTTGGAGGAGAAGGCCTGGCTCACAGTCTTCGTTTTAATTCATCAGTAAATTTCACGGATGGACTTATTGCACAGGTGGCAACCTATCATTGTACCACGCTTGAATTCACTGAGCTCCTGAGAGCGACCCATTCTTTCTCAAATGTTTGTAGAAGCAGTCTGCATGTCTAGGTGCTTGATTTTATACACCTGTGGTCATGGAGGTGATTGAAACACCTGAATCCAATGATTTGGAGGGGTGGTCCAATACTTTTGGCAATATATAGTGTATATATATATATATATATATATATATATATATATATATATACGCACATACAGTATCTCACAAAAGTGAGTACACCCCTCACATTTTTGTAAATATTTTAATATATCTTTTCATGTGGCAACACTGAAGAAATGACACTTTGCTACAATATAAAGTAGTGAGAGTACAGCTTGTATAACAGTGTAAATTTGCTGTCCCCTCAAAATAACTCAACACACAGCCATTAATGTCTAAACCGCTGGCAAGAAAAATGAGTACACCCATAAGTAAAAATGTCCAAATTTGGCCCAAAGTGCCAATATTTTGTGTGGCCACCATTATTTTCCAGCACTGCCTTAATTAACTCTCTTGGGCATGGAGTTCACCAGAGCTTCACAGGTTGCCACTGGAGTCCTCTTCCATTCCTCCATGATGAGATCACAGAGCTGGTGGATGTTGGAGACCTTGTGCTCCTCCTCCTTCCATTTGAGGATGCCCCACAGATGCTCAATAGGGTTTAGATCTGGGGACATGCTTGGCCAGTCCATCACCTTTACCCTCAGCTTCTTTAGCAAGGCAGTGGTTGTCTTGGAGGTGTGTTTGGGGTCGTTATCATGTTGGAATACTACCCTGCGGCCCAGCCTCCGAAGGGAGGGGATCAAGCTCTGCTTCAGTATGTCACAGTACATGTTGGCATTCATGGTACCTTCAATGAACTGTAGCTCCCCAGTGCCAGCAGAAATCATGCAGCCCCAAACCATGAGATGCCCAACACCATGCTTGACTGTAGGCAAGACACACTTGCTTTGTACTCCTCACCTGATTGCCGCCACACACGCTTGACACCATCTGAACCAAATAAGTTTATCTTGGTCTCATCAGATCACAGGACATTGTTCCAGTAATCCATGTCCTTAGTCTGCTTGTCTTCAGCAAACTATTTGCGGGCTTTCTTGTGCATCATCTTTAGAAGAGGCTTCCTTCTGGGATGACAGCCATGCAGACCAATTTGATGCAGTGTGTGGAGTATGGTCTGAGCACTGACAGCCTGACCCCCCACAACCTCTGGATATGACACTGAGCACATGCACTCAACCTCCTTGGTCAACCATGGTGAGGCATGTTCTGAGTGGAACCTGACCTGTTAAACCGCTGTATATGTATGCTCTTGGCCACTGTGCTGCAGCTCAGTTTCATGGTCTTGACAATCTTCTTATAGCCTAGCCCTAGGCCATCTTTATGTAGAGCCACAATTCTATTTTTCAGATCCTCAGAGAGTTCTTTGCCATGAGGTGCCATGTTGAACTTCAAGTGACCAGTATGAGAGAGTGACAGTGAGAACACCAAATTTAACACACTTGCTCCCCATTCACACCTCAGACCTTGTAACACTAACGAGTCACATGACACCAGGGAGGGAAAATGGCTAATTGGGCCTAATTTGGCCATTTTCACTTAGGGGTGTACTCACTTTTGTTGCCAGCGGTTTAGACATTAATGGCTGTGTGTTGAGTTATTATGAGGGGACAGCAAATTTACACTGTTATACAAGCTGTACACTCACTACTTTACATTGTAGCAAAGTGTCATTTCTTCAGTGTTGTCACATGGAAAGATATAATAAAATATTCACACACACACACTACTGACCTGCACTGGTCAGTCATTTAAAATGTACAATGAAAGGAAAGGTGCATGCAATACAAGGATAATCCTTTCAGCTAGGAGATGGCATGAAATAAATAATTGTTCTAAATATAAAATCTGTTCCAGAAGTAGACTCTCACCCAGATCTGAAAATCCAATCATAAAAGACATTTCATCTTGTAGGTTTTCATCATGTGTTATTAAATGAGACAAACACTGATGATTGCAAGTGGTGGGCAGACTGAAAAGCATGGTTCCTTATCAGATGTAGCAGGGGATTTCTGGAAAGCAGAGTTTATGAAAAGTAAAACGCAATTTCTGTTTAAAAAACAAAAATCAAAAAAGAAGACTTGACTTGTAGTCTTATTTGAACAACCCTTGCTAAGTCACTTGTGATTATCTTAGGGTATTTTGGTACTTGTTGCTTTATGGAATTTCTGCTTTTTTTGACACTTTTCTTTAGTTTGCTGATTCTCACATGTCCTCATTATCACTAATGTAACTGACAGTTATACAATGATGGCTCACACCTCTTCCTGAAAAATGATATGTTGATGTAACCAGCTACTATTCTCACTCACTCCAAAACTGGGGACATAAAGATCTGCTGGTATTATGGGAACTGTTGAATCACAGAGGTGGGGAGTCAGGTGGCTTTTCTACAGGGGATTATTATTATACAGGATTTATGTACACCAACAATTTGTGCAGTGCTTTACAATATAAAGAGAGACAGTACAGTTACAATAGAATAAAGAAACAAGAGGATTAAGAGGGTTCTGCTCATAAGAGGCCCTCAAACCCCTCGTGTATTGTATTGTTACTATATTGTCTCATGTACTGTCCCCCACTACAATGTACAGCGCTGAGCAAACTTTTTGGTGCTGCATAAATACTGTATAATAATAATAATAATAAGAAGAAGAGTTTACAGTCTAATCGAGTGGAGCAAGTGGTACAAAAGGTTATAACTGTGGGGGATGAGCTGATGGAAGTGATAAATATTTAATTATATTCGTGATAGGCTTCCCTGAAGAGCTGAGTTTTCAGTGATTGCTTAAAGGCAGCCAGAGTGGGGGGGGGATAGCCAGACAGATTGAGGTAGAGAGTTCCAGAGGATGGGAGAGACTCTGGTGAAGTTCTGGAGACATACATAGGAGGAGGAGACAAGGGAGCTTGAGAGCAGGAAATCATTAGGGGAGTGGAGAAGACGGTTTGGGTGATTTTTGGCGACAAGATTGGTGATGTAGCTCGGGGCAGAGTTGTGAATAGCTTTGTATGTTGTTAATATTTTGAATTTAATTCGCTGGGCAATCAGAAACCAGTGAACGGATTGGCAGGGAGGGGGTAGCAGACACTGAGCGGTTGATAACGTAGATGATTTTGGCAGCAGCATTCATGGTAGGCTGAAGAGGGGATATCCTACAGAGTGAATGAGTCGCTTGGTGGTTTTATTAGTTAAAAATGCCCGAATTTTAGAGATGTTATCAAGGTGATGTCCACAAACTTTTGACAGCAGTTGAATTTGAGGCTGAAAGGGTAGGTCAGAGTCCAGGATTACACATAGTACCCCGGCTTGAGGGGAGGGACTGATAGTTGCATTATTGATCTTGACGGGAAAGACATGGAGGAGGCATTAGCTGGGGGGAATATTATCAGCTCGGTTTTAGAGAGATTTAGTTTAAGGAAGAGGTATGACATCCATGTTGTCAGTTAGTAAGTTAGTAATGCAGGACTGAAGGAGTAAGGTGAGGAGTAAAGAAATAGATTTGGGTGTCATCAGCATAGAGATGGTATTGGAAGCCATGGGAGGTTATCAGGCTACCGAGAGAGGAGGTGTACATAAAGAAGAGAAGGGGTCCAAGAACAGAACCTTGGGACACCTACAGAAAGAACAAGTGGTAGAAGGAAAACCAGGAAAGAGCTGACTCTTGGAGACCAAGGCAGTGAAGTTTATTGAGAAGGAGTGGGTGGTTTGTATCAAAGGCTGCAGAGAGGTCTAGAAGTAAGTATGGAGTAGTAGATTTTAGTAGTTAGTAAATCGTTAGTGAGTTTTTGTAGGGCAGTTTCTGTGGAGTGTAGTGAGGCGAAAGCCAGAGTGTAAAGGGTCAAGAAGGTTGTTGTCAGTGAGGTAGGAGCTCAGGCGATTGTAGACTAAGTGTTCTAAAAGGTTAGAGCTAATTGGGAGCAGTGAAATGGGTTTTAAGTTGCTTATGTTGGTGGGGTCCAGGGAGGGCTTTTTAAGTATGGGAGTGATCTGTGCATGCTTTAGAGGGGAGGGAAAGGTGGCAGTAGATAGGAAGATGTGAGTAAGAGAGCATAGGATAGAAGATGAGAATGATCCTGTGCAGTGTAGTGAGGAGGATACTGAAAAACATTAGAAGCATACAAACAATATGCAAAGGTCCCTTTAAATACATAAGGCAGCAGTACAAGTTGCAGCATGATCTTCCGGGCCAGATTTTACCTGTGCAAGAACCCTGGGCATTTTTATGAACACATCTCTGTGGTTCCAGCTTGCTGTACCACAACAGTCTACCCACAATACCATTGCACAGGGTGCCATAAATGGTTAGATGTTATCGTGGATAGAATTAGTTTTTGCTTTCACCTTGTTTTAAACATTGACCTGTTTCTAGCTAATGTCTCATGTAAGTCTGAATTAGAGGCCTAGAACCAGGGGTGGCACATTAAATACATTTATTGATTAGTGTAAAAGGAAGACATAAAAGACTAATCTTTTCTTACAGCAAACTCTATGCATCTAATTAATTTTACATCAGACGAAAGTTTTTGTTCCAAAAAGAACTGATCAAGAGCACAGTACTGAAGAAAAATATATTCATTATTCTCGAGTATTCCAAGAGCTGCAGTCTCATCTCAGCTGAATATTCAGCTGCAGTCTCAGTCATTGTATTCTGACAGCAGAATATAAGGGCACACCAAGAAGGATTCCGTAATCCGTTAATTTTTTTTTTTTATTCGGCCTGCTGACTGGACAAAAAAAGTGATAAATCTATGGACAGCTTTACTGTCTCTGGGTGCAGAGCTGATAAATGTTGCCACTAAAATCTAAGAGACATATAGAAATTCTGTGTGTTGTTCAGCTCAAGCATTACTCATAAATACAAATATCAATTCAGTATGGAGCTCGCCTTTAAAAAGTATTGCATTCCTGCTAAATGTTTTCCCACAGATATGATGATTTATTTAACGATTATACAGGTTTGCTGTAAATTTCCAGTGTGGAAATGAAGATATTGCTTTCCATTTCAATCCTCGATTTGATGGTGGCCTTGTTGTCTGCAATACGATGGAGCATCAGAAGTGGGGAAAGGAAGAACACAAACGGGAATTGCCTTTTCACAGAAGACAGCCTTTTGAGATCCGAATCCTGGTTACACACCAGGACTACAAAGTATGTATTCATTGTAAAGAACAGGTGTGTTTTTGTTACTCACTCTAAGTCAGGCACAGATATAAGGTTAATTATCCAACAACCAACTGTTGAGTACATTTGTAGAACCAGAAAAATAACATAGTAAAGAGAGGCTGATCTGTAAACTGCTATAGTCACAGATACATATAGTAAAATGAAGAAATGGTCTGTGAACATAAATCAGCATAGGTTATATAATGTCAGTGCAAATAGTAACAATCCTTAAAGTGTTACTAAACCCATGACCCTGCATTCACAAAATCTCCCACATTACACAGAACATGGAAATGCAATTATTTTAGTAAAATAATACCTTTTCTCATCAGCAGTATATAGCAGTCTTATGACTTCTGTCAGTGTCAGGCTAAGCATTGTTTAATCTTATAGGAGGAGTTTTCATTCTCCTTTGACTGTCCTATGAGGCTGCATGACCCCTGATCCTCCCTCTGGAAAGTGCTGATTGGCCCTGTGCTGATCACATGCACCCTTCCCCCACCAAAAACAAATCTAGCAAAACACACCAAACTGAGCATATGCAGAGTGTCTCCTAGGGCTCTGTACCATCAGCAGATGAATTGGGGACTGTGGAAGAAGGGGAGGATCAGAGAAGACAGGATCAAACAGCCTTTGTACATAATGTGGAGGAGTACCCCACAGTTCCACAGTGAGTATGACAAGCATGCTTTACTGCATATACAGGCTGATTTACTGTCGTGGGTTTAGTAACACTTTAAATAGGAGAGTTTGCCACTTGCTGTGTACACAGCCCTCTCCAGCTGTAGGGTAGGCTTTAGGTGAGGGCTGTACAAGAGGCCTGACAAAGGAGAACTATCTCTTTGGGATAAAGGCCATGTACAAAATAGCAAGGAGGGGGCTGCTAACTAAGACACAAAACCAGAAAGTTTACAATAGAAATATACAGATAAGTTCATAATAAAAACCCTTTCATGCCATATTTTAGCCTTTTATAATTTCTTATATCCATGAAAAACAACAGACATCCCATAGTGTAAAACTGTATACTTTAATATTGGGGATAAATAGTTTGGGATAAAACTCACAAAATAAGTGCCTACGCTATGGGATGTCCGTTTTTTTTTTTTATTTTTTTATGCTGACAACATACTATATTGCTTGTGGAGGAGAGGAGTAGTGCTAGTATCAAACTAGCTCCAGAGAAGGATTACTGGTTATCACTTTCCACTTGATCCGGTGATAACACACTGGTTACCAGTAGCAACGTCATGGAACATACGGGAAAGTTCACCAACACGTGGCATTTTGGGATAGTCCCAATTAAAGCGCTAGTGACCTACCTAGAAATAGGTGGCCATGGAATGATGGTGAGTGTAAATCCATGTGGGGCACCAGTCTGAGCACAGTGAAGCACTTGTCACGTTAATGCAGAATTTACCATCAAGGATTCAGCACAGTTACACTTTATTTGCACATACTGGGACTGCACTAAAAGTTTTTCATAGATGTGTATTGGTTATTATGATTATCAATATAATTAACTGTTCTGTGTCTTACACCATTTATGTGCGGTCTATATGGTATATTTTGTAGCATGAGATAATAGCAATGAGTAGACAAGGGTGCAATACCCATTAGACCCAGAAGGTGGAGGTGATGTCCAGAGAAAGGCTCAGCACTATGGCCAGACAATTTAAGATATGCAATACCAAGTAACATGAATGTCTTTTTTCATACATAGTAAGACATAAAGAAATATAATGTATAATCTCATTGAAGACTTACTGACAATGATGTTCAAAGAACAATAGTGGATTCTCACAGGCAACCCAAATGAAGGCTAGTTGAAAGTCAAATGTCATTTCTAGGTAGGTAAGCAAAAATTTAATTTACAGAGTTCATCAGTTATTTGGTGCTTCAGGTCCAGGAGTTTGTCTTGAACTTATAACACCAAAAAGGATGTGGAGGATTGTGCCATTCTTACAAAGCAGTGACCAGTGAGGGTGAAGGACGGCCAGGCTTCAGGTAGATGTAATACTTCCAAGACTTGTGGTATGTCTGCTGGAGATTTCAGAATGGGGTGTTCAGTCAGCTCCATCTTGGGCATGATGGCCAGTCCAGCCTGGAAGAAAGAGCTGATGGCCTTGGGATGTGAAGCGGCAAGTGTATGTCTGGAGGATCTATAAACTGTCTTGGACAGACAGTGACCCATGAGCAGGGAAATAACAAGTTAGTCTAGGTTCACACCTATGTGTTTTCCGCTGCATTTTGCAGAAACCCACAGCAGTCTAATTAACATGATTTCCTGAGACAGGTTCACATCTCCGCGTTTTCATTCGGTATATTTTTTAGAAAGGGTCAGGGACTTTTTTAAACACAAAAGGTTGCATTTTTGGTTCTATAGACTTCAATGGAGATGCTGCAGAAAAGCATGTAGTGCATTTTTGATGCGTTTTTTTTTATTTTATTCTGCCCAGCAACAAGTTAGAAAAAAACCCACAAAATGCATCCAAAACGCATGTGGAAAAACGCACCGTGAAAAAGCGCTACAGAAATGGATCAAATGCAAACTGCATAAGTGTGAACCTAGCCTTAGGGTGTCTTCCTTGCTGTGTACGGACCATGTGTGAGCTCAGCAGGATTCATCTTTATCTGGCCATGTGTAGATGACTCCTTTCTTTTTTAAATAGATTTTTCATCAAATATCTCTTTATAATGCAGCCATAGTCCTGTACTACAGCAAGTGCAGTTTTTTATTATTTAATAAGAACGCTTTATACAACATTATATTTCAGGAATTATTTAATCATGCAAATAAATGTTTGTGATTTTGTGTCTCTATTAAAAGTGCAATTTCCTTCCAGGTTTCTGTAAACAGAAATCACATTGTGGAGTACCGCCACAGAATTCCCATCCATCAAGTCAATAAACTGTCAATAAATGGCTGTATCAGTTTATCTTGTGTTGATATACAAGCTCCAGGGGTAAGTGTCTGTATCTTTCTGTGTTTCATTGTACATACAATCATTAACAGTATTAACTTAGTTTTTCTTAATATAAAAAAATAAAGGTTTTTCTAATATAATATAATATTGTATATGTTTTTAGGGAGGATTTCCTCCTCAACAGTTTCCAGGAGGAGAAATGTACAATGTAAGCATTTCATATTTGAATCTGCTGCACCTACAGCCAAGCCTGCGCTGAACCCACAACCAAGCCTCTGCTTCCACTGCACCTGCATCCTCATTCTCTTTAGAAGCCTGCAGCCTCCACTGTAAAGGCAGCCTCTGCTGCACTCCCAATCTCCACTGTGTTTACAGTCTTAACCTCCACTGCGTAACCTCTGCTATGCCCCCTCTGCACCCACAGCCTCAGGCCTCTGCTTCACCTACAAACTTAGCTTCTGCTCCATCATCTCTGCACCTGCAGCCTCAAAGCCTTACTGTGCCTTCATTGCACTTGCAACTTCAAGCCTCCTCCTGCTTCCAGCTACCCAGTGTTGTCTGACTCTCTCATGCTTCTGGTTCTCGTTACATGGCACCTACACTCCTTTGCGTCCACAGTATCTATAGAGTGACCTGTGGGTAGACAGCAGCCAAGCCCAAACCCCAAGAGGGTGTCCCTGGCGGAACACAATCTACCTGTACTCTTACAGGAATCAGCTGCACAGATGAGCAGGGTTCACATCTCAACCTGTGGCAAAAGTAAAGGGAAATCCAAAATGTATAGTTGTCCCTGGAACAGAAATAGTGGACATTTTTTAATGTGAACATCTTTTCTAAACACAGAAATTTCCCCTCACTTTTAAGAGATTCTGCTTTACTTACTGTTGTGTGTTTGGGACAGGAAGTGATGGGAAGTCTTTCCAATGGGTCACAGAAAAGAAAAGAAACTGACTGGGATTTTAACTATTCCCTACTCTTTTCAAAACACAAAATACCTTTTCCATATTCTACAAACATATACACCCTATCCCGCAGTCTCATACTGCTAATATAATGTCCATCATAAAGTCCCACATACAAAAAATCCAAAAATTAAAATAATAGATACAAAAATAAAAATAAAAAATATGCAAATAATAGTCCTCGCTCTCCAATCTTCCAACTGTGAAAATGTCCAAATCTTCCCTTCAATCCAAAAAGCACCTCAAAGAAAATATACTAGATATAGTGCATTATCTTTTTATAACAATAAATATACGTGATATCATGCAACCACACTGGTGACATAAATAAACATCACACATGTGAAGTGAGAAAACAACACACCACTTGACTAGTGGTCCTGTGAAACAACCACTGCAATGCGTGAAAATCTACAAATACACAATTTGTGATCAGTGACAAAATTGTGCCAAAAATAGGTGCCACTCTGCATAAAGGATAATATACAATTACCCTCTTTTACTTTCAAAGCATACTGGAAATCCTTTGTACCACATACAGTTGCCTTCACTGGGAGTGTATGCTTTCCTTTATATGAGTAGATAATGGAATCACTTCCTCATACAATAACGGGCATCAGGATCCCCGTTCCTCACAGGACAAATAGGAGCAGACTCAGTGGAATAGTATATAATAGTATACAGAATTTATTTCACAGCTTACATAGTAAAAATACCTATCTTTATAACTACCACTTCCTTAAGTGTAATAAGTGACAAATTATAAAAAAACCAATATACAACAAAACTTAATTCCCCATAGCACAAAAATAAAACCTTCACCCTTGAAGATTTAAATAACAGTGTACAAAATGTGCCAAAATTACATAAATAAATAATTAATTCACCTCATCATATAGTAACTATCAGTATTCAAAAAAGAACTTAAAAAATCCTAAAAATTATTCAAAAAAATATATAATAATTCAAAAAAAAGTCCCAAAAAAAGTCCAAACAAAATAAATATAAGTTCAAACAAATTCCAAAAAATGTAAGTATAAAATTGAAACTGAGAAATCCTTTTCAATCCTTCCTTTCTCACGATAAACCTCAAACAAAAGAAAATATCACATAGTGCATTATCTTTTTAATATAATAAATATTCGTGACAACACTCTGGTGATATATCCAATATAAAGTATATTTTTTTTTTTAAATTAATTAGTGTAAAAAGTGAACCAAGTGCATCAATTTAATTAAAAAATATAAAATTAATTGGTGCAAAACACTGTGTACTGTGAATCACTCTTCCAGTGCTCCAAAAAACAAATCCACACTGTGCCACTTCTATTATAGTAAGGAATATATACCCTTACCAACACTCCTCCAAAAACCTGCTTTCAATGATTATCCTATGGATAAGATCCTCCTAAAGTGCTCCCTCAGATTCCACTGTATTCAGGGCACTTATTCCAGCAGGATTTTCTATACCTCCATATTGATGGCACATTTCCAAAAGTTTAAAACCGCTTAAATACCGTAGAAACCGCCAAGCTACCATCCAGGGAACATCCAGGGATCAACACACAGTCTTCTTTATCCTCTTTTCCCTTATGTAAAATGGCCGCCGGTCGACTTCCGGTTCCGGTATGCGTCCTGACGTCACAGCCCTTGACGCGTTTCGTCAATCATCCCTTATGATTAAGTCGATGACGAAACGCGTCAAGGGCTGTGACGTCAGGACGCATACCGGAACCGGAAGTCGACCGGCGGCCATTTTACATAAGGGAAAAGAGGATAAAGACTGTGTGTTGATCCCTGGATGTTCCCTGGATGGTAGCTTGGCGGTTTTCTACGGTATTTAAGCGGTTTTAAACTTTTGGAAATGTGCCATCAATATGGAGGTATAGAAAATCCTGCTGGAATAAGTGCCCTGAATACAGTGGAATCTGAGGGAGCACTTTAGGAGGATCTTATCCATAGGATAATCATTGAAAGCAGGTTTTTGGAGGAGTGTTGGTAAGGGTATATATTCCTTGCTATAATAGAAGTGGCACAGTGTGGATTTGTTTTTTGGAGCACTGGAAGAGTGATTCACAGTACACAGTGTTTTGCACCAATTAATTTTATATTTTTTAATTAAATTGATGCACTTGGTTCACTTTTTACACTAATTAATTTAAAAAATAAAATATACTTTATATTGGATATATCACCAGAGTGTTGTCACGAATATTTATTATATTAAAAAGATAATGCACTATGTGATATTTTCTTTTGTTTGAGGTTTATCATGAGAAAGGAAGGATTGAAAAGGATTTCTCAGTTTCAATTTTATACTTACATTTTTTGGAATTTGTTTGAACTTATATTTATTTTGTTTGGACTTTTTTTGGGACTTTTTTTTTAATTATTATATATTTTTTTGAATAATTTTTAGGATTTTTTAAGTTCTTTTTTGAATACTGATAGTTACTATATGAGGTGAATTAATTATTTATTTATGTAATTTTGGCACATTTTGTACACTGATAGTAAAAATACCGTCCATCCTCGCTGATCTCTGTTCTGTGCTGAGACCTTCTCAAAATGGCCGCTCCACTCCTTCCGGCCTAGCGTCTGACGTCACGACACTGACGCGTTTCGTCACTTCCGACTTTTTCAAAAGTGATCCCTTCATGTGGGAAATCATAGAGTTTTGATTTATTATTTTCAAAACAAACAAAAAAAATTGGCAATTGTTTTCAAGTGACTAATATTAGTGTGCATTGCGCTAAGTTAGTCCATTCATTTTGAAGGGACTGCCGACACAGTGAAAAATGTACTCTAGTAACTTTTTAACACAGCATATGGTGTGTAAATGGTAGTGGACTGCAGCACAGGTCTGTCAGCATCTACAGTAGTTGTACATTAGAGTGTCAATCAGAATGTATTGCAATACAACTCACTGCACAGTGGGGCTTGCATTAACATTAGTGCAACACATAACTACGAAGCCAGCCTTTTTGTTCCATGTTTGTGGACGTGTCTCTATTGATGCTAAACTATACTTACTATTCCATACTTACATTATAATGACCTATTTTTGGATTCTGCTAGTGTTATAAATATCTAACAGGGTTATGTGCAGTATACTGATACTGTAGTATTTTATACTTCTGTCTTCTTTATTTCAGCCGGCCTTCCCCCCACAGCCGTTTCCTGGAAGCAATGTAAGATTATATGTATTACAAATTATTTTAGTCATCACACAATCCATACACTAATGGATCCCCTTAGCAATTTTAGGCCGTTGCAGACGCTTGATGTTAAAATGTGTGTATGTTTTGCTCGTTATAAGAAATATTTTTAAGATGGGTGTCATTTTTTGGGGTTTACACAGTAATACTATGGTTACATAGAATGCTGTTTCTGTATTATCTGGCACGTCCCTCTCTTAAATCTCTTGAAATCAATAGCCAGGTGCAGCCTATTGTTAGATGAAACGTTGTGCAGTAAAGTGAACTGTCAGACCCAGTGGTTGGAGGCACCTGGTGTCAGAAAATTTGCTAAACGAGGCCCGAGGTTGTGCAAAGAACACAAGTTTGTACATTACAGTGTGGAAAGTCATGTTCTGTGCATTACTGCACTTTGGAACCTCATTGGCCTTTGCACTTTCTTACTGAATAACCCTTTATGTGTACTACTGTGCAGTGCTGTGCAGTGCAGCATAGTGGTCAGTGTCTAACTTCCTGTCTTGGTAAAGGTCAATGCATGAACCATTACAAGGGGATAAACCAAAGGTGGGAGTGTCACTAGTCTTTCATCATAAGTCATATTGTAAACAATACCCTCCCTACATGGCTTGTTCTGTGGTTGGTTTTGTTCACATCATCCATTCAACAAGGATTCTGATAGTACTATGCATACATACATTCACTGGATGCACACCTACAAACTGTGTATGGAATAACCCCAAGAATGTTCAATTTTAAAAACATTATTACATACATGTTAAAGTAAGAGCTCTTTCTTATGTGCATCAGCCCTTGCCATCTAAAAAGTGATTTGTGGTGGATTGCTTTTCAGAGGGTGCTTGACAAGTGGGGAGGAAGCATTAAGTCACCTGTTCACTGCCTGTTTTATGCCCAAAAAAACTGAACCACTGCGTGGCCCCATACACTTGAGTTGGTCTTGTTTGGTGGTAGTACTATCCACTGCATGCAACATGTTTATTGTAAAGTTTGATTTTTACTGCGGCATGCATAGAGCCCTTGAACGGCTACATACTGGTAGGCAGTTTGGGGTTGGTTGGATCATGGCTCAACTACCTGCTTTTACCTCCCCCAGCCGCCAGTGTGAACGAACTCTAACAGTTAAAAAAAATAGTATTGGAAACACTAATGCCAATTTTTATTATTCTGAATTACTTTAACAGAGCATTCAGTAGACATAAGGCTCAGTTCACTAAGCTAACACACCAGGATCAAGGTTCAGCTGGGATCAGCCAAATATCAATCTGTGTGTAGCCCTCCATGTTCAACAGAAATCGATCAGTTAGATTGACTTTTGTTGAATAGCTACGCAGGAAAACCTTAACTGATCAGCAGCCAGAGCTGCTGATTGGTGTATTCTCACAGCAGACATTTCTACTGCCAGAATACAAAGTCTTAGCAGAGAAGATTCCTCTCTCCACCACGCTTGTGTGGCTGGGGGAATCCATTTGTGTTTTTTACTTTTTTCGTAAAAACCCTGCCAGCTGAAAAAAAGCTAACTGTGTTTACCCAAGGTAAGTATCCTTATTTATTATGATCGTTGTCTTTAAAAAAATTGCAGTCACATTGCTGAAAACAGAGTCCTTTATGCTCACCACACATTACAAACGAATTGGACAATCTCCTTTAGATCTACCAATAGGTATGTAGTGTAAGGGCCTGCTTGATTGGATACAAACTCATTGGATAGTTCAAGGAGGCCCTTATATTACAACGTTTGTATGGTAGATCTAAAGTTGATTGTACAGAGATTGTATGGTAACGTGTATGGTGAGCCATAAAGTGTTGCTAAACCCAGGACCCTGCATTCCTTATATCTGGTCTCCCACAGTACACAGAAGATGGAAATGCAATTATTTTAGTAAATATAAACCGCTAAATACTTTTTCTCATCAGCAGTTAGAGCAGTCTTGTGACTTCTACCAGTGTTCAGCACTGGTTACAGCTTGTAGGAGGAGTTTTCATTCTGCTCTAGGAGGATGCAGAACCCCTGACCTCTGTCTGGACAGTGATGATTGGCCCTGTGCTGATCACATGCACTCTCCCAAGAAAAAAAAAAAAACCTCTCTAGCAATACACACCAAACTGAGCATGTGCCAAGTGTCTCCACATGATATGTTTTATCAGGAGATGAGAGAGGGGCACTGGAAGAAGGGGAGGATCAGAGAAGTCAGGATCAAACAGCATTTTTACATAATGCAGAGGATTAATCCCTTAGGTTCTGCAGTGAGTATGACAAGCATGTTTTACTGCATATACTGACTGATTTTACTGTTGTGGGTTTAGTAACACTTTAAGCTTGGTACACACAGCTAGTTTTTTTTTTTTTTTTTCAATCCAGCAGGCTGAACAGTAAAAAACTGAGAGATTGCAGTTCCAACACATGCAATGTGCAAGCTGTGCCTTTGTATTCTAACAGGGGGACGTCCACCCCTACCAGAACACACTGATCAGCGGTAACAGCCATTGGCTGAAAGTGCTGATCGGATGCTTGTTTTCCAGCATGTCCCTTCGACAAAACTCTGTTGTTAGACCTGCTTCTGTTGGACAGGCTGCTGTACACACTGACTGAATGTTGGCTGGTTCCTAATGAACCAGATAATTTTTGGCCCATGTGTATCCAGCAATAGGCTAGTGTAAAGTTTTATGAATCAAGCCTATTGTATTTACAGTTGTGTTCAAAATAATAGCAGTGTGTTGAAAAAAGTGAATAAAGCTCAAAATCCTTCTAATAGCTTTTATTTCCATATACACAAATGCATTGGGAACACTACACATTCTATTCCAAATCAAAACATGAAGAAAAATATATCAAATTTGTGTCGTTCCTCTAAAAAAATTACTTTCATCAGTCCACAAAATGTTGCGCCATTTCTCTTTAGGCCAGTCAATGTGCTCTTTGGCAAATTGTAACCTCTTCAGCACGTCTTTTTTTCAACAGTGGGACGTTTCGGGGGCTTCTTGCAGATAGCTTGGCTTCACATAGGCGTCTTCTAATTGTAACAGTACTCACAGGTAACTTTAGACCTTCTTTGATCTTCCTGGAGCTGATTGTTGGCTGAGTCCTTGCCATTTTGGCTATTCTTCTATCCATTCGAATGGTAGTTTTTCGCTATCTTCCATGTCTTTCAGGTTTTGGTTGCCATTTTAAAGCATTTGCGATCATTTTAGCTGAGCAGCCTATCATTTTTTGCCCTTCTTTATATGTTTTCCCCTCTCCAATCAACTTTTTAATCAAGGTACGCTGTTCTTCTGAACAATGTCTGGAACGACCCATTTTCCTCAGAAATTCAGAGAGAAATGCACTGTAACCAGCATGTACAACATTTGCTGCCTTCCTTCCTTAAATAAGGGCAATAATTGCCACCTGTTTTTCAAAGAATGAATGACCTCACTAATAGAACTCCACACTGATATTATTTTGAACATGCCCCTTTCAATTAGTGATTCAATTACACAGAATCAGCAGCATGCATGTCATGACTGTTGGGTCTGTTGGATTTCTATTACTCTACTACACCTGCTAGTAAATTATTTGCCATGTAGAAATATCATTTCTACCAAAAACAGTGATTGATCAGGTTAGTGATGTCTGACTGCTATTATTTTGAACACAACTGTAAATACATGAACAAAGGAAATTCTGTCAAATTTGTGCAATAGTACAACAGCATCCAGTTATCTTCATGGACCTTAATTGTAAAAGAAGTTGGCTTTTTTAAACAGCTGTTTCTAATTTCATTAAAAAAAAAAAAAAAAAAAGGGTTAGAAAATTACCAACGTTTAGAGGTTTGCTTTTATTTTTCAGCCGTTTCCTGCTGCACCACAACAAGGAGCTCATTTTGTAAGTACTTTATATACTGTACATTTATATTTCTTCATTAATAGATACCATTTATTGGGTAACGCTGTAGATTTAAACTAAAGGATTTTTGTAGAATTGCACAGTAAAAATAAGTTACATCTAATGAAGTGTGCCCATGTCTGTCTGCTGAAATGCTTCTTAAATCTCTTACTTTTATTCAGTCCACAGATGCAGTACAGATATCACATTGGGTCACTAGCTATACCCCATCCTCCATTCAGAAAAACTTGCATTTTTACAATGTACAAAAATTGTTTTTCCTACCCCTTAAAGGGACCCTGTTCTGAATGATATTTAGCTAAAACAGCTGTTACCTGCAAAGGAAGGCAGAAAGTACCCGCATTTCGCAGGGCCCATGCTGCAAATTGCTGTTCCACTGGGAAAGCTTCATTTCTGGAAGTGGCAACATTCTGAGCACACTGCTCTCACAGGTTCCTCTTTCTGTCCTCACGTCACCACTTTCTTCTGGAGTAATTTGAGGTCAGAGGGTGGAAAGCAGTGAGCTATGAGGGGACCAAGAGATTGACCCCCGGTTCACATCTATGCGGCCGTGTGGGCACGAGAGCCCATTCATTTGAATGTACTCCCGTGCCCTTGACACGCAGGGAAATAAGTCCCTGCATTTCTTCCAAAAGCGCAGCCCGCACAGGAACCTCGGTTTCCAGTACGGTTGCGTTTTCCAGTGCGGGCGGCGTGCCATTAGAACTAATGGCACCCGCCCGCGGGTCCGCATTTCTCTGTGCAGGTGGTGCGGCTGCACGGATTTTCGTGCAGATCCGCAGCGGCACCACCCGCACAGATGTGAACCTAGGGTCAAACTAGAAGATTGCCCCAGACAATTGACACTAACAGAAGTGTTGATTTCCCAGTGGACCAGTTCTGTTGAACAGAGTGGTGTTTGGTGGCATAGACAAAAGGAATGGTGAGTATTTCCTGCATTCTTTAACAGTTGACAGCTGTGTTAGTAAAATGCTTTCACAATAGAGTCACAGTAAGGATAATGGATATTCTTTCAAGGGCAAGGAGGTGCACATTTTGGTGGGCAACTGGTTCGCAAGAGGCATGAAAGGTCATTTATGTAAAACTGGAACAAGCATCCCTAAACAGGGTTGGGGGCTTATTATGTCATCTGTCACTCACATGCAATAGCATTTTAACATTATTAACCTGGCAATTTGACAATAATTCACACCTGATATCATGCAATTTGAGCAAATATCACCAGTCTTAGGTTTCATGGCACAATGGTGACTGCATTATGACTATCAGCCAGGCCAGTTTCACAAACTTTCACACTTCCTGTCATGTTTTTGGACAGTCAGCACCAACCTTGACACATTACATGACATCGTGGCAATTAGATTAAGGTAATGGAGTTGCCTGTTGGCTTTAAGTGGTAGAGTATGTTCCTGACACTCATTTGAGCTAAAGAAGCTACTGGAATGAGTGACGAAACATCACCATTAATAAACAAGTCCAGTTAAATGTGACGAACTACTACTACCATAGTACATTCCACATACATACCATGACCTGGATAAATGAGAAGCTTCACAGAGAACATTTCACTTTACCTGCAACATTTCAGTCATACTTATGACTGATATGGTACTATACAAATAGATGAACTGTATCTATGTTCTTACATCTAGGCAATTCCATATAATACGAGCATCCATGGTGGCTTATTTCCTAACAAGGTCATTGTCATCAGAGGAGCAGTTACTGGACATCCTAAGAGGTAATACTTTAGCTTGTTCAGGCTTGCAACTGTAAGTAGCATTTTGCAAGGAGTGGCAGCCAATAAGTGACTGCTTGCTTCACTACATTCCAGTAGAACCCCATTTCCATTCATTTTATAGATCTTCACATAATATTTCTAAACATTTTCAGATTTCATGTCAACCTAAGATTCAGTGGTGGAATTGCATTTCATTTCAATCCAAGATTTGATGAAAACACCATAGTTCGTAACAGCAAACTGAACAATAGTTGTTGGGGAAAGGAGGAGCGTCAAATGCCATGTGGAATGTGTTTTTCAGCTGGCCAAAGCTTTGTGGTAAGTTCAATAATTGCAAGTGAGATAACAACCTGCATCTACTGATAAATGTGTACTGAATGAAATTGTGATGCAGCCAGATCCCCTTTTTGCTTTGGTATTTATTGGCTAATAGGGAAACATACAAATTGGTTTTATAATATCTGTGTTGATATTGTTTGCCAATAGCATTCTGGCAGGGATTATTAAAACATATGGCATATTTAAATTTAGTTAAAAAGCAGAAGGCCCTAAAATTAGGAGCTGTTGAGATCACTACATATAATGAGTGCCATTTTTACCTACATTTCTGAATAAGAGAGCAGCTAATGTTAAAATATACACTCACAGGCCACTTTATTAGGTACACCTGTTTAATTGCTTGGTAACACAAATTGCTAATCAGCCAATCACATGGCAGCAACTCAATGCATTTAGGCATCTAGACGTGCTGAAGAAGACTTGCTGAAGTTCAAACTGAGCATCAGAATGGGGAAGAAAGGGGATTTAAGTGACTTTGAACGTGGCATGGTTGTTGGTGCCAGAAAGGCTGGTCTGAGTATTTCAAAAACTGCTGATCTACTGGGATTTTCACACACAACTATTTCTAGGGAAGTCGAGACTCATCAGACTAGGCAACATTTTCCAGTCTTCTATTGTCCAATTTTGCTGAGCCTGTGCGAACTGTAGCTTCTGTTTCCTGTTCTTAGCTGACAGGAGTGGTAACCGGTGTGGTCTTTTGCTGCTGTAGCCCATGTGCTTCAACATGTTGTGCGTTCATAGATGGTTTTCTGTATACCTTGGTTATTTGAGTTCCTATTGCCTTTCTATCATCTCGAACCAGTCTGCCCATTCTCATCTGACCGTTGACATCAACAAGGTATTTTCGTTTACAGAACTGCCGCTCACTGGATATTTTCTTTTTTTTTTGACTATTCTCTGTAAATCCTAGAGATGGTTGTGTGTGTGAAAATACCAGTAGATCAGCAGTTTTTGAAATACTTAGATCAGCCCATCTGGCACCAACAACCATGCCACATACAAAAAGTCACTTAAATCCCCTTTCTTTCCCATTCTGATGCTCGGTTTGAACTTCAGCAAGTTGTCTTCACCATGTGTACATGCCTAAATGCATTGAGTTGCTGCCAAGTGATTGGCTGTTGAGCAATTTGTGTTACCAAGCAACTGAATAGGTGTACCTAATGAAGTTGCCAGTGAGTGTATATTCACATTCTCACAAAGTTTCTGCACCTGCCTTCTATATTATTTCACACCAAAAACATTGCATGAAGTGAGAAGGCATCACTGAGCCTTTTTGATGCTTCAGTATTTTCTAGCTGGGTCATGCTGAGTTGGAGAACCCATACCCAGGAACAAAATGTGATGTTCATGCACAGGACACTGGCAGTTTTGGGACATGGATACACTTTAACCTTTTTGCTGTCACCAATGTATGTTACATTCTAGCAGCAGTGTGGATTTTAAACATACTTCCGACTGTCGGCTTTGTGCTGGAAGAGATTTGGGTGTCTGTAAAGCTACCTGTGATCACTTCCACACATTGATGAAAGTACTAGTCCAGTTGGCCCTCCTCGCCCCATGTATCCTGAGATCCGCGGTCCTTCAGCAGATGTCAACACGTAGATTGGAGGGATATCAACAAACATTGGTTTGTTGGTCTCTGTTCAAGTGAACTTTTTTTTGTCATTTCCAAGTCTACAGCTGCCATTTCCAAATTGTTTTGCAATGTATGGCCTGCTTAACACATGAGGTAAAGAACAAAACATTTACCCCATTACCAAATCATTGGAAATGTATCTTGAATGTTTACTGGCCTCTTTTCTTTTTTTTTTTTTACAGATTGAAATTGTTTGTGAACACCATGCTTTCAGAGTGAACGTTAATGGGAACCATGTGTGCAATTATAATCATCGTGTCCCACATCTTAATCAAATAAACACTCTGCAGATAGAGGGTGATGTTGTCCTGCAGCATGTTCAGATTTAGATCAAATGTCTAACTAGTACCATGTTTTTAACACATCTATACATATAAATACATACATAATACAAATACATAAGAAAGGATATAGCAAAGACAGCAGACAAACTATATACTGTCAGTTTTTTTTAAATACATTTATATTTACATGATTAAGTATAGCCCAAATTTAAATTATATTTACATTATATTACAATATTTGTAAACTATTTACACATAAAAATTATTTTATGTGTATAATCCACTTTTTCTTGGATACACATTTTCTATTTCACACGTGAGAAGTAAGCGTGTGCCTTTCATGTAATAAAGCCTACATTATATACATTTATTTGATAACTTTGTATTTCTTCAACCTGTATACCAGCAGAAATGTTTCAGATTGCTTTGTATTAGTTCATATACTGTATTTGAAAAGTATATGTTGTACACTGTTATTTGTTTTTGCAGTCGTTGAATGAAATGAAGAACCCACAGGCCTGCACAAGCTTAAAAACACTGATAAACAGACATTTCTTTTTCCAGGTTATATCTGAAAAATACAAATAATATGATTTTGTTACTTGGGAAGAACAGTGTTCTTCAATTTTTTTACACTTTTTTACAGGTTTACTACATGACACATAGTATATGAAGGGTTTAAGTGTAGTCTTTGAGCATACAGGCAAACAGGAAAACCTCAGTCATAACCATGAAGTGGAGCATAACAGTATAATTGTATTAACATAAAGTAATACAGTTGTCAATAAAAGAGTCATGTAATAAAAGTTTTTGATTATGAAGAAACAATAGCGTGTGTTCTCATTCCTTTTAAACAATCATGCACAGTGGTATAACGGAGATCCAAGGGAGAAAAAGATATCTACAGGTATTAGAGGACTGTGTTGCTTTCAAGCGGGGATAAGTTGTACGCCATCAACAACAGCCATGCATACCAAATTTATCAAAATTTGCAGGGTAGTCCATAATCATATAATTTATTTTGTATAGGTTGAGTATTTTATGGATAGTTTTCAGGGCATTGTTCACCTTTATTTATGTAACCTTGCAGATAAGGGGTATCTGTGTATAAAAACAAACTGTGCAGCTTTATTTATTTATTTCAGGTACTTATATAGCGCCGTCAATTTACGCAGTCCTTTTTACATACATGTATATAGTACATTCACATCAGTCCCTAACCCTCAAGGGGTGTACAGTCCCTAACTCACATTCATACACACACATACTATGGACAATTTTTTAGACAGGAGCCAGTTAGCCTACCAGCATGTCTTTGGAGTGTAGAAGGAAACCGGAGTACCCAGAGGAAACCCACGCAAGCACAGGGAGAACATGCAAACTCCAGGCAGGTGGTGCCGTGGTTGGGATTCGAACCAACGACCCTAGTACTGCCAGCTTTGACAATAGTTGAATAATGCCCTTAATATAGGTGTAGGCCATTTACGTACCTCATGAAGTCTGATTGAAAAACTCCCATAAATCACACCTCCACATCCTGCCTTGTTGTTAGAATGTTGCTAAGACAGGCCCTGCTGTTACTGTTCACATGAACCATCACCAACAGCAATCTCTCAAATTCTGAGCTCAGAGCTATTGTATCATGGGAGAGAAAGCACATGTGAGGGGGTTTGAATCAAAGAAAGAGCTCACACTTGTGATGGTGGAACTGAACAGTAACATCTGGACATGTCTTAGCAATGTCCTAGCAACAAAGCAGGACCAGGGGATGCATTTTCTAAGAGTTTTACAGTCAGGCTTCAAACTTTGATCAAAGCGGCGTAGTTTCTCTTTACCTACCTGCCCCTTAACTACATAGGCAAGGTGAAAAATGTCTTTAAGTTAGTCTCATAGTATGGTGGAGATGAGAGTCTTCATTTAAAGAGAACTATTCATCTAGTGTAGTAATTGAAAATTAGGAATTTATACTTAGAATACTTAGATACTTAAAAATAGTGGAGTCATCATGTGTACCTAGCAGAAGGATGAGCAGGTCTAAGCTCAGAGATAAATGATTTCTAAATGTAGGATAGAATTCACCTATCCAAAATTCACTCTATCCAGTGGCATACTGTGGTTGGTTAGGGAGGGTCAATGCTGTACTATTGTCTTCTGGCCAAGTATAGGATCCTAGCTAGAGCTAATTCCAACTGGGGGGGCTTCAAGTGGAAGGTCTAATATATAACTTCAAACATTTCTTGCCAGTTGCAAAAAAACCAACTTTGGGCACCTTTAGAACTTTTCGATAGGATTCCCTTGTTTGGAATCTTAGGTAATGTTGTTGGGCACAAGGTAATGTATAGGAGGGCTTATAATAGGAACTCTACTTACAGAATGCAAAGAATGATGAATACCTCTGGTTTATTAAACGTGTTTAAAGAATATATAAACTCAGCTTTTCATATTCCTGATATGTGCCTGCTGTACCATGTACTGGTATAAAAAAAGTATCCTGTTCTGTTCGTATTGCTTTCTTTGTGTTAAATCCCTGGTGTTCATGCCAGTCCCCCTGTTATCCTATTAAAAACTGACCACACTGGGCATGAGAACACAGCATGGTCAGTTCTCTAGCTGTGTTGAGAACTCAGTTTGCTCTGCACCAATGATCAGACTTGTCCTGACCTCCCCCCCCAGACAACCATTCACGGGGAAGATCAGTGCCCTGCGGTTTCTCCTTCCCAAGCTCTCTCCTTATCCAGCTGAGAACAGAGGTTACAAATAAAGGGTATTTATAATGTTTTTTTTATATCTATACATAATAAATGTTTTGCATTTAATTTCTATTTAAACTGAACGGGCTGTTTTACAAGGTGCAGGTTTACATACTGTATACTTTACATTTCTGTAAAGTATGTAGCCAGAAAAAAAATGCAGCAAATTTACAAAAAGCCATAAAGTCTTGGAGCATGAACTAGACTGATATATGTTAATATATGTTCATAATCGTACATGAAATTTGGATTTACAGACTACAGTAAAGTACAGTTTTTCAATTTTATTTATATTTATTTTATTTGTTTCTTTTTATTGAAACAATAAAAGTAATACAAACTGTGGTGTGATTCATTTTTAAAGGAAGGTCTCTGTGAAGAGCACTGTACAGAGGGTAAGGATAGAGCAGGAAAGGATTAAACCTCCTGTCAGTTTATCCATTTTTGTCCAGGTGTGTCCCATTGGTAGATTTCCCTCTACTTTCTGTCTTGGAGACACAACAGGAAGTAAGAGGAAACCTTCATTATTTCAAGGGGCTGCCCTATGTGCAAAAATTGACAATTGCAAGGTCATGCAATGCTGCATGCAAATGAAATTTGTGTCCCTTTTCCCCACAAATAAAGCTTTCTTTTGGTGGTATTTGATCGCCTGAGCACTTTTTATTTTTTGCGCTATAAACAAAAAAAGACCGACAATTTTGAGAAAAAAAACATTTTTGACTTTTTGTTATTAAACATGTCCAGAAAAAAAATTAAATTTTGTCATAATTTTAGGCCAAAATGTATTCCGCTACATGTCTTTGATAGAAAAAATCCCAATACATGAAAATTAATTGGTTTACGTGAATGTTATAGTGTTTACAAACAGCAGTATAGATACTGGAATTTTTTTCTTTTTTTACTAGTAATGGCAGCGATCAGCAACTTATAGCAGGACAGCACTGTGGTGGGCATTCTGACACTGGGAGGAACAGACTTTGTGTCAGTGACATCCCCAGTGACACCAATACAGTGATCAGTGTTAATAAAAAGCACTGACACTGTACTAGGTAGGGGTTAATATCTGGGGTGATCAAAGGGTTAACTGTGTGCTGTTTCTCTATGTTGGCTGTGTATGTGCTTCACTGTAAGCACACTACTTTGCTACGCAGAGCCATACAAAGCAGTATGCAGAAGCTGACGGGAGAGATCTGTGTTGTTTATACACAGGTCTCTCCCCCGTTGGAGATACTTGGCGATTACCAGTTTGTGGCAAGTAATCATCGGGCAGGATGCGGTGATTGACAGCCAAGGCCGCGAATGGTGGGACGCACATGCCCCCTACCCAGAACTGCAAAATCACATATATATACTTGATTTTGTGCACCCATGCCACCCTTTAGCAGTATTTCTGCTATAAGGTGGCGTGGAACCGGTTAAAATCATGCCACACCAAAGTGCATGGTACTGCGGTACTATGCGTTTTCATTGGGTTGAACACGTGCCAATTTGCTAGATGATTGGGATGGCATTTAACCATTAGCTGCCCAGCCAATGGCTGTTTGGCGGCTTCAGATGTGCCTTTTCATTCCGGGTGCACGCCATTTGGCGTGCTCCCGCACATGCGCCGTTTGCGGTAATGCAGAGCGGCGCAGCAGCGGGATCTGTCACGGGCCGTGCACCTCGGACACGGCCGATGACAGATCCGAGTACCGGCTCCCGTTGCTGGTACCATGTGACCTGCTGTGACCAATCACAGCAGGTCACATGACAGTTGTATACAATGGATGGCTTCATTCATGATGCCATCCATTGTATACTAGTGCCTAGCTGTGAATGGTCACAGCTAATCACATGCACATGTCATGTGATTAGCTGTGACCAAATCACAGCTAAGCACAAAAAAAAAAAAAAAAAAGCTGAATGAATCGATTTCATTCAGGTAAATGCTTGCTTATAGCAAAGTAATTCTTTGCTATAAGCAAATTGTGTAAAAAAAAAAAAAAAAAAATACTGATGTAGTACAGTGTTACATGTACATTGTACTACTTTGGTCATAGTAAAATATGAAAAAAAAATCTTAAAAAAAAATAAAAAAAAAATGTAATAAAAAATGAAATATATAAAAAAAAAAAAAAAAAAAAAAAAAAAAATATATATATAATTTTTTTTTTTCATACTGTCACCAGTCAGTGTCCCTGTTAACCGCCATGCCAGTTATATGATGACGCTGTACTGCACTGGTGACAGTATGTAAAAAAAAAAAAATAGTGAAAATAATTTTTTTATTTTTTTTCATTTTCAGAAAAATTATGA